AAGGTATACTAAGTTAGTTTGGAGACAACACTAAACTGGGAGGAGTTATTGATTTCATTGAGGGTAGAGATGTCTTGTAGAGACATCTCAATAAATGGGAAGGCTGGGCAATCACCAAACACGTGTTAGAATTCAAAAAGTGTCTGGACAGTGTTCTCAGAAACATAGTTTGAATTTTGGGTAGTTCTGTGTGGAGCTAGGATTTGGACTTGGTGATACTTATAGGACCTTTCCAATTCAGGATATTCTGATTCTAAGATTCTATGATAACTGAATATGAAAGAGATCTAAAGCGTTAAAAATACAGAAGACCATTCACTTTGCTCTTTGGTTCTGAGGATACAAGGATGTTTACATACTGACATACTGACTATGGATTATTTTCAGATAGTTACAGCTGTTTAGATAAATGCCATTACCAAAGCCTCAATTCTCAGGCATTATGTTTATTTTTCAGAACAAGTGTGATCAGCTTAAAGATAAGGCAGATATAGAAAATCTCCTACTTCTACATAACAAAGAACTGTTTTATCTTTATGGCTGGACATTGTGTAAAAAGACAAAATCAGCCACAATTAAAACAGTGTTCACAATTTTTTTTGAAGACACGAAGAGGATTCAGTGAAATATTATTTCTGTCATTTCTCTGAGAGTCTAATGAAAACTTCCATATAAACACATAGCAAGGAGCTCTGAGCATACTTGAGAGCAGCTGCTGGATAGATGAAGCTCTGCATACAATATCCCCTGGCCAAGTGAAAGAAATTCTTGGTGAAGTTCACATTATGCCCTTTTCCCTACATAATGAAGATTAAGTGGTAAATATTCTTATCTGGAACTGTGGCTAACCAGTGCTGTCTGCAGACCACAGCTCTGTGAGGTCTTATAACTAACTCATCTGGTCACAGTCCTCATTCTGTGTTTTGTTCTTACAACTCATCCTTGCAAAGAATCATTACATACACAATGTACCCCTGCTCTGAAATGTGTGTACCTGTAGGTCTGCATACTGATGTATCCATATGACTGTGAATCAGCACCTGCAAAGTGCTCAGCTTTCTCGTCTCTTGTCATTCTGTGAACTCCTGTATACTTGCCAGAAGCTAGAAGCTTACACACTAACATCTGAAGAAAAGACAGGAAACATCTGGGTCCAGATTAGTTCATTTATATGTAAACTCTTACCAAGTGTAGATTTCCTGAAGAAGGAGTTAATTTAGCAGTCTGAAAACAGCGGAAAAATAGTGACATCACTAGCACCATTATTTATACTTCCAGGCACTAATTACAGACCGTGACAATATACAGATATTCAAAGGATTTGTTTCTGTCTCTGCACTAAGTGGTATTCAGTTTTCTGTTGCAAATTTAAAATACTGTGTCTAGAGTTTCATCTCCCAGTAAATAACTCTATATGTACATAGGACTATCTCTTCTCAAAAGAATTTACACTAAGGTTTAGACAAAAAGATAAGAAGGAAAATATCACTCAGATAATAGGTACCTATATTTCTGCTAGGAAACCTCAGGTAAATCTTGGTCTGGAGATATACCAGCATTAAATCAAATACTGCTTATTTCAGTAGAACTGATCGAGAAAAAAGGAACATCACAACCATTGTAAAAACTCAGTTTTCTGAACACATCAAAAGCATTGTAATTCCGATATATTCTTAATTGTTAATCCTTTGAACATAGGCTTCCTGGAAATATATATTTTTTTCCTATCTGTGCTTTTTTTATGGAAACTGGGGTAACCTTGTTAGTAGTAAATGCTGACTGTCAGGATCAAAACCACTCTCCAGCACAGGTGAATTAGAAGTAGCAGATTATTCCAAGTCTTGCAGAAAAATGTTTCCTGTTCCTACCACTGAATAGAATAAACAAAAGATAAAGAATATTATTGAGGGCATTGTCTAAATGTCTTTTGAATACTGACAGGCATGAGACATTAACCATCTCTCTAGGAAGCTGTTCCAGTGCTTGACTACACTCACATAAACAAAGTTTTCCTGATACCCAGCCTGTACCTCCCTCTGCGCAGCTTTGTCTTCCAGCATGTCATGTCATCAGTCACCATGGAGCAGAGACTGGCTTCTCCCTCCCCACTTTCCTTCAAGGAGCTGTAGAGCACAGTGATTTCACCTCCCAGCATCCTTTTCTCCAACATGAATCAAAGTGTCCTCAGCCTCTCCTCATAGACATGACTTTCAGTCTTTTTACTAGCTTCATTGTCCTCTGGCTTTCAAGGTTGGTTTTCAAGGACCTTAATGTCATTTTTATGACATTATGACCTCAATATTCAAAGTAGGGCTTCAAAATATTGCACTTCTTTTTTGCTGTCTGGCTATGCTGTATTTAATGAACTCCACAATGCATTTTGCCATTTTGGCCAACTGCTGCCTCTTTCTGAGCCTGCTGTCACCAGGCCTTCTCCTGTTAAGCTGCTCTCCCACAGCTGATCTCCTAGTCTGTGCCTGTGTCTAGCATTACTCTATGCCAGGTACAGAACCCTGTGCTTTCCTTTGTTGAACTTCATGACATTGCTCCATGCTTCAATGTATATAGATCTCTGCAAGGCCTCTCATTTCTCTAGGGAGTTGATGGCACTTTCCAGTTTAGTATTGTCAGCAAAGTTGCAGAAGTAGCACTCCAGTCCTTCATCCAGACCACTGGCAAAAATTTTGAAAGAGAATAGCCCTAGAGTTGAGCCCTGGCGAATAACAGTGGTGACTATCCGCCACCTAGAGGCAGATCCTTTTACCGCAACACTTCGAGCTCTACCGTTGAGCCATTTCACCTGGAATAGCACGAACCAGCTTATTTCATAGCTGGACAGTATACCCAGAAGGATGCCATGAAATATTGTATCAGAACCTTTACTTACATCCAGAAAGATTACATTCACTTCCTTCAGCCACCGATCATCAATCACCTTATTGTAGAAAGAGATCAAATTACTAAGGGTGGACTTTCCCTTGATGAAGCCATATTGACTATGCCTGATAATAGCTTTGTTCTTTAACAGACTTTCAGTACCCTCCAGGACAATCTTCATAACTTTTAAAGGGACTGAGGTGAAACAACGTGAAAGATGTGTAGTTTCCTGTGTCTTCTTTCATGCCGTGTACACAGATAACATTGACTAACTTCTGGTAAGCAAGGACCTCCCCAGATACCCAATACCTTCCGTAAACTGTTGAGAGGGGTCCAGCTATAACATATGCTAATTCCTTCAGCACTCTGAGTTGAAACCCATTTCACCCCAAGGACTTCTGAGTGTTCAGCTAACACAGCTGTTTCCTTGCAATTTCATGTTGGAAATCTGTTGCTAATATTTAAATACATAGCTCTGATAACCATCTTCACACCATTTTTCTTTTGTTTACACTTCGTTGATTTAATTGACATCACAGAGAGGCTACAAGAATGCCTAAGCAAGAAAATTTACATCGAGTTCTGTAGACAAAACAGCTGATACCATTTTCACAGCAATCTGTCTCAAAAACCAAGATGCCAAGAGACTTCTCTCCTCTGACAATCCTGATGATGCTGTTCTTGTCTCTCTCACCTTTAAAACACAGAAATTCTGCTTGTATATTTAGAATGAGTGCATTTCTCAGATCTCTGGGGAAAAAAAAAAAATAATAATGAAACCCTCACCATCCTCCCACCCCATATTACATTGATTCTTATGGGGAAAAATTGCCTTGCTGCTGTTGAATTTCTAACTGTCACACTTTTCTTGACTGTCATGAATTGCAAAGGATAGCTGTACTAAGAATTACAATGAAAGAAGAAACCATATTGACCAATGGATCTATGAGGTCAGGAACATACACACAGGTTTTGTTTTTTTTTTTTACTTTACGTAACTAGGTGCAGTTTGCACTCTGATACTTTTATGGATGAAAACTCCAGTCTAATTCTATTCAACTGCTTTCCATCACAGCAATTTCTGTTGTGTTTTTTTTTTTTTTTTTTTTTTTTTTTCCCTTCATTGCTGGTGCTGCTGTGGCACCAGGATGACTAAGGATTTGCTCTTCCTTTAGCTAGTGTTCATTGCATAGATGTCCTTAGAAACAGAATAAAATCCTGTCACGAAACACAGGAGGAGCTTTTTCTGTACTGAAATAATGATAAGGAAAATCTGTAATATAAGAGCACCAAATTCATGGTGAATGATTACTGACTGAATATTTTGTATGAGAAATACGTCAGATGCTGAGAAGACAAGCCTAACACACTGGTATCTTAAAATGCATTTTTTTCATGGAAATCTGGAAATTAAAATACAATATTTGCTTTTAATAAAAATTATATAGATTATTTGCTTGGGATGAAGAGGCACTGGAACATGTTGCCAGAGAAGTGGATACATCATCTCCTAGGTGTTTAAGGCCGGGTTGAATGGAGCCCTGAGTAACTTGATCTGGTGGATGACAATGCTGTCCACAGGAGGGGATCTGGAATTAAGTGATCTTTAAGGTCCCTTTCAACCCAAGTCATTCTATGGTTTCACGATTCTATGATTTTCTGCGATAGTGTATACAAGTCAGCCCAAAAGTAATTTGTCCTATTTATTTCCAGTATAACTACAACAAATACAAAGAGCACAATAACACTATCTGATAGAGCAAATTAAAATGCTATTTTTCAAGGTAGCCACTACCATTAAGTATGCATTTTTGCTAGGGATGGACAAGAGCCTGCATGGTACACTCAAAAGTCTGCACCAGCAAAGGTGACCCACTGTTTCACAGTTGCTATGATAGTATGATAGTCATTGCTAGGAAAATGTTGCCCAAGCCATCTTTCACTGGCCCAAACAGATAAAGAAGGAGCCAAATCCCAATGATACAGTGGGTGTGTTAAGACAATCCAGCCAAGACTGGCAATGTGCTCTACAGTCATCAGACCAGCATGGGGCCTGGCATTCTTGTTGCAGTAGAACTGTTGTCTTCTTCTATGGCCTGACTCTACAAGTTCAAGCCGTCAGCTTAGTCAGTGTTGCAATGTCATGTCAGAATTGGTGGTTTGTCCAGGTTTCAGGAAAACCAGAAGGATCACCTCTTTCCTATCACAAAAGACAATGCACATCACTTTACCTGTGCAGGCTGCATCATGAACTTTTCCTTTGATGGAGAATTCACATCACCACTCTGTAGACTGTCATTCTGACTCCAGCTTGTAGTGGTGATACCATGTCTTATCACAGGTAATGACACGATCCAGGAAACTGCTACTGTCAGCCTATCTGTTCAATTTGTCCTGACAGTCTTGCAGACAGCATTCTTTTTTTTTTTCCCCCTCCCCCCTTTGTGGACATCCATGAGACCTTCCTGGTGCAAACTTTGAGGTATCCCAGTCTTATCAACATAATTTCCAATGCATTGAAGCGGATATTCAGCTCCATACACAGTTCCCTGGGTACATGATCTCATTAGGAGACTTACCTTGTTGTCACCTAGGGCAGTGTTTTTTAAATATCAGAATAATACAAAATACAGGTTTAAAAGAAACTGAGCTCAGTGTATAACAACTGCAATTTTACATATTTTTTAAGAATTCTCCTTTTCCTAGGAATCGCTAATATCTGTGTACCTCCAGTGCAAGTCACTTTGCTTTTCAGAAGATTCTTGGTATAATGAACAGTCAGAACATCAAATAAAAGACATTTTGGCCCATAGGGACATCATGTTGCACCTGCAAATGAATACAAAAAGACCTACTTACTGAATCTAACAATGCAGTTATATAACAAAATTATTATTGCATCTTCAGTTATATGTTTCAGATCTTACTGCAGTTTCTTTTTCACTTGACAGGAAAGAAAAATATTCCAGTCTAGCAAGGAAATGAATATAAACTAAATAATATTCATCAAAGAGAAAGATTACAATTGTTAGTTTTTCATTAATTTCAGAAGCATTTATGAGGCATGCAGATTGACTGTGAGCATACTTAGAATTCATAAACATATTCTGAATGCTCTGGATGTGTTATAAAGAGATGCCAGATTGTTTACACTGGCTGTTCAGTTTAACTGATCTCACAGTATTTCTGTTCCTTCACTGTTTGACAAATTTATTAGCAGGAGGACAGTGGGTAAAAAAAAAAATATATCAAATAATACACTATTAACATTTCTGGTTTCACAAAATAACTACAAAATAACTGAAAGCATAATAAGCCCTAGGTATCCAGCAACCCAGTATTTGGAAATATAATATCTAGCCCTTTTTATTAAAAAAAAAAATATATATATATATATATATATAAATAAAACATAAAAAAAACATAATTCAAATAGTATCCTCTCATAACTGAATCACCTTGTAATTTAAGCGGCAAAACGCATGAGCCTAAGATTCAACAAAATGTACAGGATAAAAGAAGAAATACAGCTGTGTATTGGAATTGTCAGTATGCTTACATATATCCTAACCCATTTCTGCATTAACCATGCTAAATTCTTGAATGTTCTGATTCTTCAAAGAAACATATTTTGGAAAAATATTTTCTTTGACAACACTGCTGTATTGTGTGAAACAAATAGGTGCAAACACAAATTTAGCTTGGAGATTTTGTTCTTAGAATTGAATGAAAAAGCAGCACCAAGAGAGTAACAGCTTTCCTGGAACAAAGTAGGTATTTTAGGCACTCCAATACTAAGCATGCCATTTATCCTTAATTCTCCTTTTCTGTAGCATGCTGTCAGTGGCTGAAAATAAAGGCAAGTATAGTTACTGAACCTCTTTGTGAGCCCTGAAAGCTGGTAGCATTGCAAATGAATTAGAAATTCTCTCAAATGTAAGAATAACAGAAGCAAGTCATGCACCTAAGTTTTTGCACAGTTAGCAGAAAGACAAAAAATACAAAATATCAGAGGTTCTGCTCAAAGGATTTAATCAGTGTCAGACTAACTAAGCATCTGCATTACAAGCTGGCTTACATACAAGAAAATAATGTGTGTGTGACAATTCCTTTTTATTTTGTTTCTTCACCACCCACTGCGGTGTTTGCACTTTTTGCATTTCATACACCTGAATGACAGTTAAAAATAAAAGACTACGGGAATACTGGAAATTCATCCTTAAATCTTTCCATATCAGAGCCTAAGTTAAGCATATATTGAAATCTGCACTGATTTTCTAATTGACAAACTGCATTTGGAGCTCAATCTTCATGAGAACGTACAGAATGAAGTCTTTTTCCTTGAAGAGCTATTCTTACAATGCAGATACACTGAATACCTTGCAGGAATTTTAAGTCTCAATGAAATAGCATGAGGTTACAAAAAAAAAGCCAGAGTTTTGTCCCCCCCCAATGTTACTTCCACAGAATTAACAAGCTCTTGGCTTCAAAGGGCAATTTTTACTAGAATCCTTTCTCACGTATTTTTACCGATCATTTTTTCTCTACATTCCACATGCCTTGATAAAAAAATAATTGAAAAATCACAACCTTTGGTGCAATCATAATTGTTACTGTGTCTGCTCCAGGAACATGGGCAGGCTTACTCACCTGGTTCTCCCTGGCTACAGCAGCTAACACTTTCTCTCACTTTAATGTCTTTTCATGAAGAAAATTCATCAAACACTAATTGATTTGAAATTGCTGTTTGCTTCCTAACCCACTACAGGAAAACGGCCTGCAGCTTCACAACAACCTTAATGAAGTTCAATTAGACTTGCTTTCCCTCTCTGGTGCTATAGTTACATGGACGTTCTCTGACCCACTACTCTTTTCCTATATTTGTAAGTTTTCTCAGACAAACCACGTCAGAATGAGCACAAAGCAACACCTGTGCTGTCAGCATAGAAGAGAGGCCTGAAATGCAAGTAGATGTATAAATGAGGTTGATTTAGGATCTGTACCATGGCATAGCTCTGATTTAACTGATTTTGACTGAAATGAAGGAGGAGATCATCTCCAGCAAAAGAAGCTTCTCTAGCAAATCTGTAGCAAGAAGTTGCATTGCTGAAATTCTCACAAAGTCAGTTGTCTGTGACACAAAGAATTAATGCTTTTGAAATTAGCAAATTCACCCAACACATACCTGTAGGAACATACTGAAGGTTTTGTTTGGTGGTTGGTTTTGTTTTTTGAGGCTTAAATCTGAAAGTAAAAAGGAAAAAAAAAATGTGGAAAATGGAAATGAAAATATAAAAATAAACATTGCCTTTCAACCACTAGAAATGATTGTATCTGTTAGCCAAATGTACCAATACCCGTAATATAATAACAAGAACGCAGCTTGAGACAGTGGAATTCCAACTATTGGAAAGAACAGTAAAAGGTCTTGAACTTTCACAAGTAAGCAGCAGTCAAAATAGTATGAGGATTTGGCTTGTTTACAGTGGGGTTTAATACTTGTATAAGGAGACTCACCTGTGATGACTCCCCTCGGAAAGCAGCGCTTCAAGCCCAACTGTGGTAATAAATGCTCCATTTGAAGGGGATTATCTCCTCCCCCTCTTCTTCTGATTTTTCAGAACAAAGCAGGAGGTGGAGAGAAGGAGGGGGAGATAATCCCTTTAACACTTAGCACTTCACACCTGCCAGGTAAGTAATAAATGCTGCATTCCAGGGGGATTAGCACAGTACTTGTTTAGAGTGGAATAAAATGCTTTCAGACATTGGACCGACCCCCCTGGGACAAAAGTCCAGCTTAGGTTTTGTCATTTAATTACTTCTTATAGTCTTCTTGTATTTGTTTGTTTGCTAACTCAAGTACAACAGTATGAAAACAACAAAAGCTGAGTTTCTCGATTTTCTGGGTTTCTGTGTGTATGCCATGAGAAAACTTAAGCATATTGATACAGTAAACAATTGATAATAAAATAACATTGTATTATTTAAAGATATGCATTCCACAAGAGGTAGAGCGCTCTTCATGAAACCCATATCCCATATAATGAAGTGTTCCTGAACTGAAGGTATGTTGAAGGAAGTTCATTCTGATCAGTGTATTAGTATCCTCACAGCAACACTCAACAATGTGACGCACTGTCATCAACAACCTCTTATGCTTGCATTTTTCTAATCTTCACTTCGTATTTTAGTTGTGTGAATATTGCAATAAAATAATGATAATCTTGCATAGTGTGAAAGCTAACATATATTTTGGTGTTATATTTGAGTCATTCTGTCCAGAATTTCTCTTTGGGACCTGCAGTAGTGAGTCTAACCTGAATGAAAGGGAAAAGAGGAGAAAAATAACAATAATAATAATAAAGAAATCTTGTCATCTCCAAAGAACAGAAGACTCTTCCACTCTACTCTTCCTTTTTAGGACTTTCTCTTCCATCTACCTGGAAGATACAATTTAATATAGATTATATTGCCTGTGCTTTTCTCTGTATACCTGCGTGTTGCTTGACCACAGATGCCAGGTGGACACCAGATGAGAAACCCCGGGGCATCTGAAATGATGCCAGACGCCTCTGTTTTCTTCCCAAATCTCACTCTATATTGGCTATATGTAATAGGTGGTATTTAACTATAATGGACCTATTTTTTTCCCTAGGCTTAAAATCGAGCAAATAAAGAACCCACCCCTCTAACATAAACAGCTATGGATAAAATAGCTCTTATACATTTTTTTTATTTCCCAGGATGAATATAGCAAAGCTCTGCCTAGTTAAAGATGTAGGAGAGATCATAACATCTTTAGGCTTGCTGAGAGACTCAGAAACAGATCCCCCTTGCTGGGAAGGTGTCGGGTAGCCTCTATATGAATCACTTCTTCACAAGCATACCTCAGGAGCTCTGAAATTTGAAGCAAATAGGTTTTACTCTTTAGAGACAGCTAAAACAGTTCTTTTTGTCCAGATATTTTGAAGTTCCATACCTCTGCTAAGTTATAGTTCAGTAAACACAGAATCTTAATATATGTTATTTAAAAGGATTTTTCATATCAATTTCTAAAGGTGAAGGAGAGAACATGGATGAGAGCTTTTTTCATGAAACTGGACATAGTAAGCTGAAGTCTAACTTCAAAATAATGTTATTTTTGTTGTTTCATTTTAGTGTCTCCTTCCACATGATTAAAAAAAGAGATATGTACAATAAATACAAAACAGTTAATAGGAAAAGATTTTGTCATTCTCCTGAACTCCTACCTTTTTATTTTCTATACAGGAAAATTAAACTGTTGCCTATCATGTCTTTCATTAGAAAAGCATTTTAGCAGAGTGTTTCTCTACATGAAGTACAACTGCTGGCTTCAGTGAATGTTTCATGCTGGATTGCAAAATATGACACACAATACACAGGTAAAAAAAATTTGTGATGTCATCACATATGGAGGAATGTGCAGGGCAGTATGTGCCCTACAGACTAGTTAAGTCTTTTACCTAATTAGTGAGAAAAGGCTTTTTTACTCAGTACGTGTGCATATTTAATTCCACACTTTTAATCTAGTACAGAGCAGAAGTAGTGGAGAACAGAGTATTTTAAAATAATACATTTTCTGTGAGATTTCCCTACTCACCATCATTCTTTCTCAGAAACAGAATGCATCTTAGTGGCAACTTCAGCTACCACTTGCACTTACTAACATTTTCTTCTAGAGCAGAAAACAAAGAAACCCAAACAGTAAATACCTTAGAATATAATCTCAGAATAGTAAATTCTCCAAGAAAAATCTTGGTGCTAACTGTCCTGTGTCTTCTATTCCAAAAAAGTGCAAGGAAGAAATATGATACATCATGTTCCCAAAGACCATAGTAGCAAGCATGTCTGCCATTAATTATCTTTTTTGATACTGAATTTTGACCATGTAGCATGGTAATACAAAGAGAAACAAGAGATGAAGTGAGAAAATACAAAAGGCACTGCATTATCCCAAAGAGAGTGGGGACACAAAAAATTTATGTTCAAGGGCTATTCCAAAAAGTAATGTCCCTATTTTATTACCTTGACCCACAACATCAGAGATGGATGTTGGTGGTGTGGCAGTAGAGGCTGAAACTTCCCACCAGTATTCCATTACATGCCATGAGTAGAAACAGCAACAATGGGTCACCTCCACAGGTGTAGATTTTGGCAACCACAGCATGCAGGCTCTTGTTCATCATCAGCAAAAATGCATAGCCAATGCTGGTAACAAAGTTGAAGAATAGTGTTTTGTGGCTGAGAACTATATATTCTATGTATTTGCTGTTCTTATTTTGTTGTCTAAATTCAGTAGTAGGGAGGAGGCCTAGAACATGGGTTGCTGTTTGTGATAATCACTGTAAACAAAGAAAAGAGAAGCTTGTCATTACAGAATCAATTTCATGAAACCATGGTTTCTGAAAAGCTAAGTGAAGGTACGTTTAGGCATCCTAAAAATGTTGCAGCTGAAGTTGGGTCTCTGCCATCTCCTTTAGTTAAAATGGAGTTTTTGGGGAAGCAAGACCCCAGAGGGGAATGTGATCATGAAATTAATGTGAGTAGGTGGTTTAAGATAAAATTCTTAGCTCAATGTTAGAAGATTCAGAAAAGTATGATTAATTAATGCCAGTAAACATGATTTTGGGCCAGACAAGAACATGACCATGGCACATCCGGAGATAGCAGAATGTCAGAACATGAGGGAGTAGTGATGTAGAATAAGAAGGTATGGTTTACGATAGCTCACATCTATTTTAAGAGTTTTTCAAAGAAAATACATTAATGACAAAACTGTAATAAAGACCTTCCAGTTACATGACACCTTTGAGATGACATCCAAGGTTTTTGTAATCTGTCTGTTTCTCAGTAACATTGATGCAACAACTGTCCTGCACAGTCAGATGTAATAAAAGTGTAAATTTCAGTATGCATACTCATTAGATATAAATTGTTTCACACTGAGAGAAGAGAATAAAAGTCCACTCAAGGTGTCATAGAACAAATAGGAAGGTATTTTGCAAAGCATCTCCGTCAAGTCATAGAATCTGACATAAAAGTTCCTCTTAAGTGTATAGTTCAGCAAATTGATTTTTAGTTTTTGAAATGGAATTAAACATTTCCTAGTGGCAGAATCATCAGACACATGTGCATAGAAACACAAGAGCATGTGGGTGGAATTTAAAATCTAGTACGTGTCTAATGCGCAAGCTGTTGCAGACTGTGATAAATGGGAAAAAAAAAAAAAAAAAAAATTGGAAAAAATAATTTTAAGATTTGGATGATAAAAACATTGTGAACACATTACAAAGAACAACAGAATTTAGAATAATAATTATTTTTGCAGAACTTTAATTAGCTCATTTTCTTAAGTGCATCTCAGGTTGTTTTCATAACTATTTCTCTTGTTTATCTGAAACATTCAGTCATAAGGATCTCCACTTTGACTAAATAACAGAAGTCTTTAAATTTTGATCATTTTGTGATTCCGTGATTATATATTTACCAGCATGTTTGTATTAAATGATATTACATCTAGCCAATGCAGAGGGAAAAAAAAAAAAAATGTAAAAAGCAAAAAAAAACGAAAAATAGGTGAAATATGTATGTATAAATGGAAAAGCTTATATCAGGACATATGTATGAGGGTTGTTCCAAAGGTAATGTCCCCTTTTTTTGTACCTTGGCCCAAGACATCAGAGGCAGATGTTGGTGGTATGGCAGTAGAAGTCAAAACTTCCCACCAATATCCCGTTTCATGTTGTTGCTATGTGACAGTTGGCAGCAGAGGGACAGTCTGACAAAATGGTGTCTGACATGGAAATGGGTTTGAAGCAAAGGTGTGTTTCTGAATTCCGCCACGCAGATAAATTGCATCCACTGACATTCATGGGCTCTCGATGAACGTTTCTGGAGACTTAAGAGCGGGTGTGAGTACAGTGAGGTGGTGGGTGGTGCATTTCAGCAGTGGCAACTGCAGCGTATGTGAAAGACACACCAATTTCTGAAAGGCCATGAAGATTTTCATGAGTATGGCTTGCAAATTCTCATTCATTGCTGGCAAAAATGCAATGCTACTGGTCATGACTACATTAAAAAACAGGGTTTTTTTTTAGCAGATAATTAGCTTTATCAGCGATCTTTGTGTTGAATTTTCCATGGAAATAACTTGCAGAGTGACTCACATACATGCATACATATGTACTTATGCATGCTCACATGCACACACATTTTGTCATTTATCCTGATATTTCTTCCTCATTCCCATGACTTTCTTGGTTTATACAACCCATTACAGGTGGTTCCTGTTTTCATCTTGGGAGACTAGCATCTCTGTGAATAGGTGAATCTTTCTTGAAAACCTTGCTTATACTTCTAGGTTGCCAAATCTACATTTAAGTAAATGAATTTGGATTTGGAAATGCTACCTTTCATTTATATTTGCAAGGTACTACTGTGTAGGGTAAATTTGCAGAGATTAAACATTGTTTTTTTTTATTTTGGAGAGCTCATATCAATCTCCTACTACTGTGTTAAATATTTAATCACCTGTCCCAGTACAAAACAAACCTCACTTGTTGAATTCAATCTTTCTATACTTGCTTGCAAAGACTAC